ACACTAATTCAATAACAGATTAATTCAAACTGCAACAGGTCAGTTTAGGTGACTGGGCAGCTACCCATTAAGAAACAAGTGAATGGAGTAAATGCAATGAACATTTAAACCATCAGGAGGCTTTCATTCCTGGCTTCCCAGTATCTGAAAACGAGGTTCCTATTTCTGGGTACTTAAGTAAACTTGCTTGTTTTTTAATGAAATTTTGCAATCACTTGGAATTCCAGGCTACAGTAGGCATTTTTAGTGCTTCCTATTTATAAAATGACTGAGACATTGTAATTTGGAAGCTGGGCTTTGGCAGAATATGCTTGTACAAGCTGTATGGGGGCCACAAAACTGCTGTTGCTGCAGCTCTTTGCTTGGAGATGCCATGGCCTCATGTCTCTTATTTGCGTTGTGAGCATATGAACCACACCAAACTCTAACTCCAGAAAATTTCATTTATATTGAGTCTATAGCAAATGGCAAATATTACATGGTTGTCAAACACAACCAGTCTTAGCTAGCAAAACCAACCAAAAAAATAACTATTATAAATAGAAAAGAAATAAGCATTTATTAAGAGATTACTATGTGCCAGGGACTGTGCTAAACTCTTTACAAATATTATTTCATTTTGTCCTCACAATGACCCTGTGAGGTAAGTGCTGAAATTATTCTCATTTTAAGGATGAGCCTGTGAGGTAAGTACTAAAATTATGCTCATTTTAAAGATGAGAAAACTGAGACAGGTTGTGACTCATCCAGGGTTACATAGCTAGCAAGTAGCTGAGTTCATATTTGAACTTGGGTCTTCCCAACTTCAGGTCCAGTGCTTGATCCACTATACCACCTAGCTGCCATGTCTGGAAATTTTAGTGCAAATAACTTAAAGTGAAAGATTTTCAACTAATTTTTTTCCCCACCACTATCACTGAACTGCCATTTCAAACTAAACCATACTATAAGAGGATCTGTTGAAAGAGCTGTGGTTGTTTTGGTTAGATAAGAAAAGCCTGGGGAGGGGGGGATGGCATGAATTTCTTCACATATTTAAAAGGATAAGTGGAAGAGAAATTAGATTTACATTACTTGGTCTCTTGTGGCAGAACTACTCAGTCAATCAGTCAACAAGCATTTGTTAAATGCCTACTATGTGCCATCTCAAAAAAAAAACATAAGATGCACAAATTTAAAGAATCCACCCCAAATGTTCACATGGATTATTTGTGCCCAACCTGTGGTAGAACATTCCGAGCTTGTATTGGTCTGATCAGCTACATTAGGACACACTATAAATTGACTGTAGCATAGTGATGTCATTTTGGTCCTCTTTGAGAGCAAACAGCCAACCATATGCCAGGTACTATGCTAAATACTAAGGGTTAAAAAAAAGATTAAAAACAGACTACTGGGGGGAGATAGCATGTGAACAACTATGGACAGACAAGATATATACAGATAAGTTGAAGATGATCAACAGACAGACTGTTATTCAGTGTAAAGAAAAACTTACTAATGATTAGAGCTGTGCCATAATGGAACAGGCTGCCTCAGAGATAGTGAGCTCCTTATCATGAGAGGTATTCAAAAACACTGGATGACCACTTGTTAGGGACATTGGAGAGTGGATTCCTGCTAGGATATGGGCTATACCAGATGACTTCTGAGACCAGTTAATTCTGAAATACTATAATTTTATAAATTCATTGAGAGAATTCTATTTTTCCAAAAGACTACACGCATGCCAGATAGAGAGTTGACCTTGAAACCAGGAAGACCTGGTTTCAAGTTCCACCTCTGATGCTTCCTGGCAGTATGACCCTGGAGTCACTTAACCTCTTAGTGCAAATTATGTGAGAAAAATAATATTTGCTCTATCAACCTCACAGACTTGTTATGGGGATGAAAATGAGAACCTCTCAGTGTTCTGAGGAACTCAGACCATAAGTTTCAGACAAGGTACACTCTTGCATTGGAAGAGTTTCCTTTTCTAGGGCATCACCTATACCAGAGAAAGCACAAGCACAATTCCTATATGAATTCATAAATTATTGAAGTTATTAGAAATCAATAAAACTTCAAAGTATAATCAATAAACAAGTATTTATTCAGCACCTACTATGTGCCAAACACTGTGCTGGGCACCAGGAAAACTAAAATAAAATTAAACAAACCCTACCCTCAAAGAGCTTATATTCTATAGGTAAATACAACATAAATTTAAGATAACATGCAGGGAGCAGCTCTAACAACTTGGGGTGGAGGAAGGAAGGAGGTAGGGACCCAGGAAAGGCTTCATGTAGGAAATAGCAATTGAATTTTGAAGGAAGGTAAAGATTTGAAGAGGCAGAAGATAGGAAAAATGCATTTCCCTCCACAAATATGGGAGATGGGATGCCATGTGTGAGGAACAGCAGAGAGGTCAGTGTAACTGAAACACAGAGTACATGAAGGGAAATAATACATTATAAAATCAGAAAGGTGAGCTGACATCATGTTATAAAAGGTTTTAAATGCCAGAGGAGTTTGTAGTCAATCCTAAAGGTAATGGTGAGCCAGTGGAACTTACTGAGAAGGAGAATATCATAGTCAGATCTGTATTTTAGAGCAAAATCACCTTGGAGCTGGATAGAGAATGAGCTGGAGAGAGGGAGAGATTTGAGGCTGGGAGATCAATTGGGAGGCTATTACAACAGACCAGGAGGGAACCGATAAAGGTCCAGACCAAGGTGGTGGTACTGTAATTGGAGAGAAGCAGATTCAAGATATGTTGTAGATGCAGAATAGACAAGACTTTGCAACGGATTGAATATGTGGAAGGAAAAGAGAATGAGGAATAGTAGACATCTCCAAGGGTTCAAACCTGACTGAACAAAAATATGGTGGTGGCTTTGACCAAAATAGGGAATTTTGGAAAGGACAGGTTTAGAGGAAAAGATCTGCTTTGGACATGTTGAGTTTGAGATGTCTCTGGGACATCCAGTTTAAAATGTCTAATGGGCAACTGGTGCCCGGGGGGAACAAATAACAAGAGAGACAATAGTATTGGACACTAGTATAGACAATGTTAGCATGCTGAGCACATAAGGAGTTAAAATATGCAACTTTAGCAGGCAGACCTTTGACTTTTGAATTTGTGCTGAGTTGCTGAACCTAAATAAGATTTTCCCCTCCTACTATGCATGAATTAATTGTCATTTAATGATGTGTTGCAGTGGACTTTGTGTGCCTAGCCTATGGAATTGGAAAAGGGATTTTTTTTTAACACTCTATAGGGCTTTTAAATATGAAGTGATATATTTTCTGGAGAGGCTATGTTTATTATAACCAGATTTTCTTCAGAAATTTTTTTTTCAATTTCAAAACAATTTTCAATAGCAAAAGGCTTTCCCCCCTCAAGTGTGAGGGGGAAAGATGCCAACTTTGGTCAAAAAGAGCAAACTTTCAACAAGCCCGGAGGGCAGCAGTAGACTGACAGATGCAGCAAAGCCTCTATTTTCTCAGACAATAAACAACCCATTCTTCAGTCTTAGTCTTTACATCATTCACTTTTAAAAGACAGCAACTCTACACAGGAATTCTAGGAATATATGACAGTTTAGCAAGGAAACATCTCCAGAGAGTTGATGAAATAGATGAAGAATGGTGAGAAATCAGAGAAGAGCAAATTTCTACAGTTATGTTGAACTTTCCGTAAAATATAAAAACTACAAAAATGTGACTTTCAGAGATATTCATTAAAGTCTGAATATCAACCTAAAAGGTCTCCCGCCAAATGGATGGATAGCCAGTGCAGCGCTTTTTAAATTTTAAATTTAAATTTAAATAGTAAAAGGTTTCTGAATATGCAGCAACCAAAGATTAATTCAAAATCAAATGTGTAATGAATCAGAGGTGTTTCTAGCAGTGCATGCCAGTGTTGCATCATGTAACTTGGTTCTGAACACCAAGAGGTCATGAATGGAAAACATTTAAGAAGCCCTGGTAGGGTTTTGAAGGGAAGTGTAGGATTTTGAAGGGAAGAACTTGACAAGAATTGCATAAGATAAGAGGCCACAGGTAAAATTTCAACTTTCATCGTTGGAGGGAGGATCTACTTTGATGAGATCACAGATCCATCAGCATGACAAAGTATATTAGAATATAAAGCAGAGAAACATTACGTTTTGTGCCCTCGAGGAGCTTACAAAGGAAAAAAGGAGAAACCATTTTCATCTAGGTGTATCACAATGGAAACTTTCAGACACTAATTTCCTTCTCTACAAGAAATCTTTTCTATTTGACATATTTTGTTCTTTTTCCCATTAATTTGCCATGTGGTGGGTGTGTACAGACAATGTCTTCAATTCTTATTGCCCCACAGACGAGTCCTTTGTTCTGGCATTCGTGTTATTAACCTATACAAGGTAAAAAAAAAAAAAGTCTTCGTTTTCCTCCTTGATGAAGACATCTGTCATTGATGAGGTCTCCCTATGCAAGGCATAAAAATTATCTCCAGACCTATCTATCTCCCTTTGCTGACCTGGGCTAGAATAAAAAATCATGGCTCACTGTAACTTTTTCTTGAATTTTACCATCAGGACTTGATCTGGCATATTTTCTAGATCTTTGTGGAGTAGTTGTGGAAAAAAGCTAGGCTGTACCACTTCCTCCTACTCTACCATCTTGACTCATCTCTTGGCAAGAAGTTTCTGGACCATATTAAGCATAGCAAGAATGAGAGCCAGTGAAGTGGGATGAGAGTGGCAGAAAAATGGAGGAATTCCTAGAAAGCTTTCCAGCTGAAGCCTCCTAAACCCAGTGCAGCACTAGCAGGGTTACACCAAATTCTCAGACAAATCGAGAGCTGGAGCCGAGGAACAGCAAACCTAGACCTTACCCTTGATTGGAACTCTAGATTACACAGTGTTCTGAGCTGAGCCTGACTCAGAACAGTCCGCTGGGTCTTTAAATTTGATACTGAAACAAAATGAGATACATTTAAGTCATTCAACAGTTAAAAAAAAAAGATTTACTTAGCCATTGCAGAAGAAGGATATTCGACAAGGATAAACATTGAAAACACCTCAAGACGATTCAGCTGAGTCAAGATCACTAGCCTGAATTCTCCATTGTGATCCACCAGCCAAGCCTCAGAGCACCCTGGCACTCCTCATAGCTGTCTGTACTCAGGCCATGAGGAAATGAAGACAGCAATCTGAGCTCTTAGTTCCCTGAGCCAACCAAGTCTTGACAAATGTCTCAATACCTTTTAATGAAAAACTAGCTTAACTGGCATCAGAAAGGGTTGACATGGATCCTATCACTCATAAACTGTGCAAGTCTGGAGGAAGGAAGTCAATTCTCTATTCAGTTATTTTCCCTTGCAGGGAGGTCCTGCCAAGAATAGTACTAAAGGTTTAGAGAGTTGTATGGAAAGGTGGCACCCACTGAGGGGAATAGTTACTTAAGACCATTTAACAACTCTAAATGATTTCTCCACTTGGAGAAAGTCTCAACTCCAGAATGGTACTATGAGTCAGGAGGGCTGTATTGGTCCTTTGGGAGGCTGGGATCACCAGAGAGGGAAGGAGAGTTTTCTTGATGGTGTAAGGGCTCCAAAGAAGTCTTTTTTTGTGTGTGTTAAATTAAATCTGTTCTATATGTTGAGGTTTAGGGACTTAGGGGTGCTGGGACCCCAAAACAGTGACATGCAGGTCCTGCCCAAATGAATTCAACCCAAGCCTTCTTTCAGCCAGAGACAAGGTTTATTAGAACACTGACTGGAGTGAGCGAGATTCCTAGTGAGTCTGCGTTATTGACTAGATTTTAAGAATCTGAGCAGCTTAATGGTGGCCTAGATGGATCTTATATATAGAAAGACTATGGGAGGGATCTAGGAGTGGCCAAGTAGTCTGAGGTGACTGTGAGGAGGGGTCTAGAGAAGATCTGGATGGGAGTGGCCAGTGAGCCAGGGTGACTGGGAAGCATAATGTCAGGGACCTGGACCCTGTGGCCAAGGTAGACTGGGGTCTAGGTGGGATTAAGGAGTGGAGGTCTAGGGTGGGGCTGGGTACAGACAATGAAAGGCCAGTTAATTAGCTGGGTTGGTCTGATTGCCCCAGGCTAATACCAAGGATCTGGACCATGTGGGAAAGTCCAGGGCTTTTCCTTTTTGGGGTCCAGATCCCAAAGACATGGTCTTTTCTTTTTAGGGGTTCAGATCCCATCCCCATCATATATTCAATGTTTTGTTAGTCTGAGTGTTTACATGGGAACCAAGAGGTTTTCCCCTTATTGTTGTGGAAACCTGCCTAAATTCTCATGCTACCAGAGGAATCTGGCTAGAGACATCAATCAAGAGTCTCTCTCTCTCTCTCTCTTTGTGTGTGTGTCTCTCTCTCTCTGTCTTTCTCTTCTCTCTCTGTCACATACACACACACACAGAGAACAACAGAGGAAATAATGGGAAAGGATTGATGCTAAAAACAACTGATAGAAAGGAGGAAAAGAACACATATCTGTCACACTGAAGATGTGGGCAGGGTCAAAAAACTCAAAGTCATTTGCTAAGTGACCTTTGAAACAAGTTGAGATGTTTGGTATAATATAACTCACATTTATGTGATGAATGAATAGTATCATTTGAGCCTAGGAGGTATTTCAAGTCCTGTTATCCCCATTTTACAGATAAGGAACCTCAGGTCAGAAAGGTATGGTGACTTACCCAAAGTTACTTACTTATCTAATAGATAGTGCAGCTGGGACCCAAAGCCCAGATTGTCTGACCTGAAGTCCAATACCCGTGCCCGTTTTTCATACTATCTCTCAGCAGCATGTACAAACAGAACAAGCCTGTCCCACTTCCCAAGGCCTGAGAAGCCTGACCATGAACATTTCCTTGGCCTGTTTTGTGGAGGTTATGTTATCCTACCACAGGCTCCAAACACTCTGATCAGCTTGGTAAAGAAGCATTTACAGACAGCGGTATGTCAAGGCTGATCTACTTTTATGTCAGTAGGAATTGATTCCCAGACACATTGTATTTATAAAATGGCCATTCCCAAAGTGTCATGTAGGACTCCCCTACATCTACAATGGAAGAAACTTATTTATTTATTGAAAAATGTCTGTTCTTCAAAAGTCTATGTCAAAAATCTCTGAGGACTGAGGGAATTCTGTTAAAGGGGCACCATCCACCCCAATAGCACCTCCAGTAATGACTTCTCTGGAAGCCTGTCAGGAAAGTATTTAAACAATGACTCATGATCTTAAGGGCCGAGGTCAGGCCCTCACACATAAACCAATACATGAGGCTGCTTGAGGGGGTGGGGTAGTGAGTGGGAGCAGGGGCCCAGTAGGGGCTGGAGGATGGAGGGCAGGGAGTAGGGGGCAGGTTTCCCTGTCTACTGGCCCAAGTTTTATCTTTTAACTTTTTTTTCAACCTACCTCAGAGGAGCCGCTGGCTTAGTGCAGAAACAGCAAACACAAAATTTTGTTTGCTTACTTGGCTTAATAACACAGCCTGCTCTCTGACCTTTTCCCAGTACAGTAATAAAGGGAAAGGGCATATTTAAAATGTGGTTGCACAGGTTTCTCGTGTGTATTGCTCCAGCTGCAAATACAAATACCTTAGGAAAGAAAGGCTGCTCTAAACCGGAATAGGTTGTGAAATATTCCCCAGAGGACTTTAAAACCAGGGGCTTGTCACTGTGGGTGACAGGTACAATCTTCAATCAATCAGTCAACCAACAAATATTTGCTGAGTAACTTTCCTGTAGGAGGTATTGTGCCAGGTGCTGGGGAAAATACAAAAATGAGTGCAACTCAGACCTTACCTACAAAGAGCTTACCATCTAGGAATAACCAGATCTGGACACATCAAAAGACACAGACATCTGGGCTTAGGAGTCAGGAAGACCTGAGTTCAAATGTGACCTCAGACACTTACTAGCTGTGGGGCCTGGGGCAAGTCACTTTACTTTTGCATGCCTCAGTTTCTTCAACTGTAAGACTGGCATCTACCTCCCAGACTTGTTTTAAGGATAAAATAGATGATATATGTAAAGCACTTTGAATACTTTAAGCTATATAATTAATTATATTTGTATTATACATAATTTTATTATCATATTATACATATATAACCATATTAAACATATTTATTATATATGTTTTATATTATATTTATGTATTTGTGTTATATTGTTATATATAATTATATATACTATTATATAGTATATATAATACTATATTACATTATTATGTATTTATATTGCATGTATTATATATTACATACATTATATTATTACAATTAATTATCCATATTATATAGAATTATATAATTAAGCATATTATATAATTAAGTTATTATTATTTTCAACCTCACTTGCCTCATTAGTAAAATGAGGATAATAATAGTAGCTACTTAATGGTGTTATTGTGAGGATCAAATAAAATAATACATGCAAAGCATTTTTCAGATCTAAAAGTGCTATGTGGATATGAGGTGTTATTATCATAGAAGGTACAAATAATAGATACTATGGGAATCGAGAGTTAGAGAGCTCACTATGGTCTGAGGAGGTCAGGAAGAAGGTGGACTTGAGCAGGACTTCACAAAATGGGTAGACATTGGATAGACTAGCTAGCAGACCAATCTAGCTATATTCAATACTTTATAAAGGAGGGGTAATAGATGATAAAACTGGACACGTCATTTGAGGCCAGATTGTGGAGGGCCTTGAATGCCACACTAGGAAGTTTGAACCCCAGCATTCTGTCCTTTACTCTCTTCCCAGCACTAAACACTTTCTTAGAGATTTAACCAGATGTTGTGGATTCAACTATTGGCCATACCCAGTCTTCATCTCTCTTCTGAACATCGGCCCTCCATGTTCAACTGGATGTCCTGTGCAAATCTCAAATTCAACATGTTCAAAACAGAATTCATGATCTTTCTCCCTAGACCCACCCCTCCTCCTAAATTCCATAGTTTTCTGGCCCACCACCTTTCTTCTAGACACCCAGGGCAACATGGTGATGTTTCAAACCTGAATGACCAGAAATTTACCTGGAAAGGGTCAGAAGAAGAAGTGGTACCTGGGATGGAAAAAGATTTTAAAAGCGGAGATTCCCAACTAGATCCAGGAGAGGGGGCTGATGAGAGACAGGGTCCAGGTTTCAGCCTTCAGCCTTCAAGACTTCAAAGAGTTAAACTAGGCAAGGAAAGTAAGTGGAATGTGTTCCCACTCAAAGATTGCATAGGCACTTATGAGTTTGAAGCCTTACTGTGTGCTGGCTGATCCCATCCCCTAAAATGGTCCAAACCCCTCATCAGTGAAGGAATTACTCCTACAGTCTTCAACCTCCTTAGTTAGAACAATTCATTAGACTAATGAAAGAGCAGACTCTTACAGAGTCACCGAAGCCTTCATCAACTTCCAAGGATTTTGAAAGCAACAGAGAAAAATTGATTAATTGAATCAGATTTATGCTTTATGTAACTCAGTTTTCTTTTGATAACAACAGTCCCAAATGAATGAGCCATGAGACAGGATAGTTGTTCTTCCTGGAGTAGCAGTCTTAAGGTTATGTATATCAGAGTTTCTTTCAGCATTTTCCTATAGTGCGATCATTCATAAATTTGTCCCTCATCTTTTTTTTTTTAATCATTAATGTATAATGGAGCATAAGGTAATCAGGAGAGTCACTAATTAATATGAGAAGTTCCCTAATTACTCTAAGGAGATCATAGGCTACCAGCCATTCTCTTGAGCTAACTGGTTCGCCAACTCATGCAATGTAAGCCTTTCACTGTTGCTGTGATTGGGTTTTCCCAAACTAGGGCTTCCTCCTACTGAACGGCTTACTGAAAATCAGCCATTCTTCTTTGTGATCTATAAAAACAAGCTGGTTGCTGTCTGGTTCTCCTCTCATCAGGATTTCCTCTTTGTCTTTTTCCCTTAAGATTTGTATAGGAAAGCAGCAAGTGGCTGTGTGACTGAGAAGGGGGTGGCAGTGCCATGCAAGCCCCATTCACTTTCCCTCATAAATCCTGAGACTTTTCCCCTCTCCTCCAGAAGCTGATAGTGACTTCAAGCAGATGCACAGGATGGTGGTAGAAAAGTTCTCGAACCAGTCTTGACAGGAGAAATCCTGAGTGGGCTTTCCTAGCTCACTAGATAC